TACTTGGTAAAGATTGCAATGTACAATTATCTTCTGAGCAGAACTTAAGCTATTACAAATTGTCTTGGGAATGATTTTTAATTATGTGTCTTACTACTCTGTCTTCCTTATTTTTTTTGGTAGTTTTTTTTTTACTTCAAATTTAATCTGATTTTTCATGATTTTTACCTTTGGAATATTGTATTATTATTATTCAAATCAGGGATCGGAATCATTTGTCCGAATGATTGTAATAGTTGGTCTAACAACAACATTTGCATGTGCTTTTGGAACATTTTATGGCAGACCTTTTTTTCACATTCTTCTTCTCAATGCCCTAGTTTTTTGTGATACTTAGTCTTATATTTTATTAACCCTTGGAATCAATTTATTTTTGAATTGTTATTCCTTTTCCATTTTTTGTGGGATTTTTTAAAAATCTTGCAATTTAAGGTTGTTTTAACCACTCATTTTTTTCCATAAGGCTTAATCATTCATTTTTCTGTGGGTTTTTTATGTGTAGCAGGTACCCATTTCTGAAAAGAGAACGAAGGTCATGGATTTTCTTGCTTGGTTTTGCTAGTTATTTTCGTTTCCCAAATTTTAAGAGATGGTTATTCACCAAAGATAAAAATGACCATTCTCTATAGACATAATTATAGTGACGATTATTCGTTTATGCTAATGCCTATTAAGGGTTTAATCAAAACTCTTTATAAAGAATTAACTTATAACGTAACTTTTGTTATATCATTTAGTCAGGGCAGCGAAGCCCGTTGTTAAATACATACAAGTTGTTATAGTTCTCTTTCATTGAAATGGTGTACACATACTAATGATTGCCCTATTTTTCTACGCAATCCATCAATTTTCACTCATTAATGCCACCGTATATACCTTTGACATATGTTGCTCAACAAAGGACCTTTCGCAGAACCAACGTGAATAGTTGAGGCAATCTTTGTTGAAGTGGCGCAGCCCACACATTTGACCCGTTCTTTATCTTGAATAAGATAACTGGACTTGACTATACTATCCATAATAAAATATTGGGGGAATTAGTTAGATTTCTTGAAGTTTGTTATTAAATCAGTCAGATTTTTTAAAATTTAAAATATTATGTACAGATTTCTTGAGGCTTGTACCTGATTTACACTTTGATCTCTATGGTCAATATCTATTAGTATATTTATTAATAAATTACATCTAGACCCTTTAAAATTTATAGACGTATAATACTTAAATCCCTCAAATTTAAAATGTTATACTTAAATAAAAAATACTTCGAATCAAATATAGAATACCAAATATTTTAAATTTTACAATCAAAATTCATGTTTTATTATGACATTTATTGAAATAAAATTAAAATTAAAATTAAAATTTTTTCTTAAAAAAATTTAATTAGTTTATAATTATACTATCTATTGAAATTTAATTTGGCCGTTTAAATAATCAAATAAAACTACTAAATTATCCCAATTAAAGTTAGAAAATATTGTATCCATTACAATTTGACTCTTTATTTATTTTTTAGTCTTATTCCAATAGATAATATAATTGTACTAGTTATTGCCTGTATCTGAAGGCACAGAGAAATAAAAAATGATAAATAATAAATATTTGTATTCATATCCAAAATTAAATCACAAATATAAAGAAGAAGTGAATAAATTTAAACATCGGTTTGTAGTAGGGGGTGAGAAGTGGGGTGCGGTAGTGGTGGTAAGAGACGGTGATAATTGTAGTGGATGGCAATCGTGGTGGCAATGACCGTGGTAGCAACGAGGGCGGTGATGGTGATGGTGGTGGTGGTGGTGGTGATAGCGACGGCGATGATGGTGGTGGTTGTGGTGGTGGTGGCAACGATGGTGGTGACGACGGTTGTGGTGGCGGCAGTGGTGGCAGCAGTAATGGGGGTGGGGGTGGTGATGACGGTGGGGGAATTGGTGGTTGCGGTGGTGGCGGCGGCTGTAGTGGTGGCGAAAGCGGTGGTGGTAGAGTGGTTTCAAATACTAATTTTTTTTAAAAAAAATAATATTTATAAAAAATAATTTTTAGAAATACTTTTAAAAAAATCACTCCAAACACATCCTCAGAGATATATTTTTCCTATTAAATTTAGGGTGTTAATATTAGCCGTTAGATTAACTTTAAAGTAAAATTTAAAACGATCTCAACCGCGAATAGTAAAAGTCATTTTGTTTATCTTTTGAAATTTGAATTGTAAACTACTTTATTATATAGATATTAATTATAATTTTGTAATGAAAAAATATACTTTATTTTAATTTTATTTCATTAATGACATAATATAACACGATTTTTGGTTATAAAATTTATATTCTATTATGAATGACTCAAATTTCTTATTTGATTTTTTAGTTTTATTTCAATAGATAGTATAATTGTGTACTAATTATAATTTTTTAAGAAAAAATTAGATTTTTATTTTTGATTTTATTTTAATAAATAATACAATCGAACATGAATTTTTGTTATAAAATTTAAAATATTTGATATTTTATTTTTTATTATAGTATTTTTAGTTTAAATATAACATTTTAAACTTAAGAGCTCTAAGTATTATATACTTACAAACTTTATGGGGGTTTGAGTGTAATTTACTAACAAAAATATTAACGTACATTAACGACAGAGATCTAAGTGTTACGCAAGTACAAACTTTAGGAGGTCTATATGTAATATTTCAAATGTTATAGGAACTAAGTGATTAAGTTACAAATTTCTAGAGGTCTTGATGTAATTCTCCCTAAAATATTTGATATCACACTTTCAAAATTTATTATTTTAATAAATATTTTTATAATTTTTATGAATTATTTTATAATTAAAAATATTTATCACTTTTATAATTGTTTTTATCTTTATTGTATGTATTTTTATTATTATTGCGATAACTATTCTTGTCGCTTTTCTTTGGTACCAAAATTGTTACCACTTTTGTAGATTTTTGACTACTATTGTAGTCATTATTTTTATCATTATTTTTGGTACTATAACAATGATAAAAATATTTATAACAATAATAAAAATATTTTAAAATAAGGTTAATCTCATTTTGCACCTTAAAAGATCGTTCGAATCTCAATTTACACCATCAAAGATTAAAAATCTCAATTTGTACCCTCAAAAATAGAAAATTGTATCAATGTACACCCCCAAAGATCAAAAATCTTAATTTGCACCCTCAAAGATAGAAATTTGTATCAATGTACACCCCCAAAGATCAAAAATCTCAATTTGCACCCTCAAAGATAGAAATTTGTATTAATGTGCACCTAAAACTAAATTGATAAATTATACCTAGATCCCCTCATGTTTGTCACTTAATCATTTGAACCCCTTCACATTTAGAATATTACCCCTATATCTCATGAGGTTTGTACATGTGTAAACATAACCACTTTTCGTTGATATCTATTAATATAATCGTTAAAAAATATGATTTTATCCTAATAAAAAATTATAATTTCATATTACCCTTTATTTTGTGGATTCGATATACTCTAAAGTTCAAAATCAAGCTTACCATTTGAATGTCTAATAGAATGTAGATATTTATAAAATGGAAAATATGAAAAACATTATATAAATATCTACATTTTATTAGACATTCAAATGGTAAACTTGATTTTGAACTTTAAAGTATATTGGACCCATAAAATAAGGGTAATATGAAATTATAATTTTTTATTAGGATAAAATTATATTTTTTAACGGTTATATTAACAGATATCAATGAAAGTGGGTTACATGTTGTATTTTCAAATAGTCATTAGATGTAGGAGTAATATTCTAAATGTAAAGAGGTTCAAATGATTAAGTGACAAACATGAGAGGATCTAGGTATAATTTATCAATTTAGTTTTAGGTGCATAATGATACAAATTTCTATATTTGAGAGTGCAAATTGAGATTTTTTATCTTTGGGGGTGCACATTGATATAAATTTCTATCTTTGAGGGTGTAAATTGAGATTTTTGATCTTTGGGGGTGCACATTCATATAAATTTCTATCTTTGAGGGTGCAAATTGAGATTTTTACTTTTTGAGGGTGTAAATTGAGATTCGAACTATCTTTCGGGGTATAAAATGAGATTAACCCTTTAAAATATAACAAATGTTGATACGGTACTAATAAAAATTATTTGGGTATCGTAGACAACTCCAAGATACAGATGGCAAACTACTAGAATGGTTGAGAGGGTCCCTGTCTTTGAATGTTGTCAAAAAACTAAGTAGTTTGTAGAATGGTAATAAGAAGTCATATTAGACGTGTGATATCACTAAAAAATTGTATAAATGGTATTTTATTATAGAATTTTGATATCATAGGAATTTTTTTTTTTATAGTTAAAAAAGGGATTGGACAAAGAGAGCATAACCACCTCATAGGCTCTTATTAGTGGGATTATGAGGTTCATAACCGTTCATATTATTCCTTTCGAGAACGAACCTAATTAAAATAACACAGTGATCAACTATCAAACTCTAATGTAGACTTTAAAACTCGATCCTTCAACTTGAAATTCGGCAGTTGCTCCACTAGACCCCACTCGGTGGTGTTACTTGCGAGGGGATGACACATACCCGGACTTTCTGGTCATATCTGATTGCACATTATTGGAACTACATGAGGTGATCCAAAAATTCGCCCTTTTAGGACCCATCGATGTTGACTCTCATCTCTCTCTCTCTCTCTCTCGCCATTCAGTTCCATTGGCTGCCAGTTATCGCCCAAACACCTTGCATTGAACTATTTTTAATCTAAAAAATTCTTTCTTTTCTGATTCTAATGTGAAAGAGTGATAAAAAAACAATGGACTAAATTGTATTGACGTCCTTGTGGTTGCAAAGTCAAAGGGTATCAATTTTATCAACAGCCACCTGCCAAATCTTTATGATGTGACCAGAAACTAGTTTTCACTTACACCATCTCCTTACAGCAGTTCGAGAAAGTGCCTTTCTAACTATATAGTCAAAAGCTTATATATGATCCAATCTGAATACAGGCTACTCAATTACCATATTAAGAAACAACCATGATCACAATCATTGAAGTCCTAGTGTTTCTGCTTTTCACTTTCCCTTCTTGTTTAGCTCAAGAAACAAATGTCAGCGACTACAAAGCTTTACTTGCATTCAAATCCAACCTTATATTAGAATCCATAAACATTTTGTCCAGCAACTGGAGCTCAAACACTCATTTCTGCAACTGGCTTGGAGTCTCATGCTCAAATTCACCAGACAAAAGAGTGGTAGCTTTGCAGCTCCGGGGTTTGGCTCTCCGAGGTATTATTTCCCCGGAAATCGCCAATTTGACTCGACTTCTTGTGCTAGACCTCAGTAGCAATGATTTGGGTGGCACTGTACCAAGTGAATTAGGCCTCTTGCTTCAATTGAGACTTCTCAATTTAACTGGAAACTTCCTTCAAGGCAGCATTCCTGCAAATATTAGCCACTGTCAGAAGCTTGAAGAACTATGCATATCAAACAACATGATCACGGGAAGCATACCGGAAGAGCTAGGCCTCCTGAGCAATCTCAAAGCATTGCGGCTCAACGACATGAATCTCACAGGCAATGTTCCTGCTTCACTGGGAAACTTGTCGAATTTACAGTACTTTTATCTGCATGAAAACACCTTACTGGGTGACATACCTGCAGAGATTGGCAAACTCAGTCATCTCACGCTCCTTTCCTTTCGTGGTAACAACTTTACTGGCTCACTACCCCCATTAATCTTTAATATCTCAGCTTTACAGATAATAGACTTCTCCATAAATGGGCTCTCTGGACAACTACCTGAGAATTTGGGTCATTGGCTTCCTAATCTTGAAAGTCTCTTTGTGGACAGCAACCGGATCACAGGTAGAATCCCAGTTTCTCTGTCTAATGCATCAAAGCTCAATAACCTGTTTTTGACTGAGAACAATTTTCGCGGAAATATACCGAGCGAGTTGGGTAGGCTGCTTCAATTGGAGTGGTTGGAGTTGGAATACAATCAACTTTCCAATAACACACCATCTAGCATCTTCAATATTTCTTCATTACAAATTCTTGAAGCCAGGCACAACTACCTGAGTGGGCAACTCCCTGATGATCTGGGTTTGTGGCTTCCCAATCTTCAAGAGATTTATCTTTCTCATAACCTATTTAGTGGAGAGATAGCTCCTTCCATATGTAACGCCTCAAAACTTGTTTATCTAGAGATGTCGAACAACAGTTTCAGCGGTCCCATTCCAATGATGCTTGGAAAGCTGGTTAACCTAGAGCATCTGAACCTCCAGAATAATTTACTAACAAGTGAACCCCAATCTACACATCTAGACTTCCTAAATTCCTTGGTGAACTCTAGGAATCTAGAATATCTCATCCTTGGCTCCAACCCTTTGAATGGGATTCTACCAGATTCAATAGGGAACCTCTCTAGCAATCTCAGGGTCATTGCTGCAGAATCATGTCAGATTAAGGGCAGCATTCCACGAGGATTGGGAAACTTGAGCAGCTTGTCATTTTTGGGGTTAGCCAATAATGATTTAGAAGGTAACATACCCCCATCTTTTGTTGGCCTGCTAAACTTGGAAAGGCTGTACCTCACTGGAAACAATTTGAAAGGTCCTATTTCAGCTGAACTGTGTAGCATAAAAAGTCTAGGAATACTACACTTGGGAGAAAACATGCTATCAGGATCCATACCCATATTTATCAAAAATCTCACGGAGCTGGTAGAATTCTCTCTTGCTGCTAACAGTTTCAATTCCAACATACCTTTGAGTTTCTGGAGACTAGTAAAGTTAGAAAGTCTAAACTTGTCTCGAACTTCACTACATGGCTTCATCCCTCCTGAAATGGGGAACTTAAAAGCAGTCAGGATCATGGACCTCTCTTCTAGTAACTTCTCTGGTGACATTCCAAATTCTCTTGGATCCCTCCAGAACCTAGTTTCACTTGATATGTCCAGGAATTCATTCCAGGGTCCTATCCCGGACTCTGTTAGAAATCTTATTGTTCTGGAATCCTTGGATCTGTCTTCCAATGTTCTCTCTGGTATGATTCCCAAGGCCCTTGAGTCAATGCAAGATCTCAAGTACCTGAATCTTTCTTTCAACAGGCTACATGGAGAAATCCCCCAAAAAGGGGTGTTCTTAAATCTCAGCTACCAGTCATTAATGGGAAATCCTCAAATTTGTGGAGCACCAAGACTGGGACTTCCTTCATGCCCAACTCAAACCTCCAACCGAAGAAGAAGAACATCTCATGTTCTTAAGATAACCATCCCCATTATTGCAACATTTCTGCTTGTGGTCATATGTTGTCTTACATGGATCAGCTTCTACAAAAAGAAAGTGGAAGGCAACACAGCAGTGGATTCTTCCCCCAGAATGGGACATCAGATCATCACCTATCATGAGCTTGTACGTGCAACTGCACATTTTAGTGAAGCCAACTTAATAGGAAGTGGGAGTTCTAGTATGGTTTACAAAGGCACGCTCGCTGATGGTACAGTTGCTGCAATCAAGGTTCTTAACATGCAGTCGGAAGGGGCACTTAAAAATTTCAATGCAGAATGTGAAATTATGTGCAATGCACGGCACCGGAATCTAGTTAAAATAATCTCCACTTGCTCCAATATGGATTTCAAAGCTATGGTACTAGAGTTCATGCCAAATGGAACTCTGGACAAGTGGTTGCACTCCCACAACAACCACTTGAACCTAATCCAAAGAATTGATATAGTGACAGATGTAGCACTTGCAATGGAGTATCTACACCATGAATGCACTGTGCCAATTGTTCATTGTGATCTAAAGCCAAGCAACGTGCTTCTAGATGAGGAGATGACTGCTCATGTGGCAGACTATGGGATTTCCAAGGTGTTGGCGCAAGATCAAGCAATGACACAAACCAGGACTCTAGGAACTATCGGGTACATTGCTCCAGGTATGACTGAAAGAGTTTTGATTTATCAAATTAAACTTGTTTGGCTTGTTTATTTCAAATAAAAATAGGCTGGCCTAGTTCGCGAGGTTTTCATGTAAACTGGATCATTCAACCGAAATTGCCTCATGACAAAAACTAATCCTGAAGTCATCTCTATTAAGCTACCAATATGTTCATTAATTACATTTCTATTGTTTTAAGGAGAAGTTTTACTCGAGCAAGGGCAGATAAACATGTGCTCCCCCCACCCACCACACCTGCCTCCAAAAAAATTAAAAGATAAGAGTGTGGAAGACTAAGCCTGACCTCTAAAACTATTGCTACAAAAATAATTAAAACTACACGAAGAGTAATTGGTTAGTATGCATTAGCCTTTGAATTTTTCTTGCTACTCATAATTTGTCTCATCTTGCAAAACTACTGATAAAGCTACATTTTTCTTACATTTATCAAGTGAAACGTTCATGATCTTCAAGTAAATTTGCATAGAAATGTTTCTCAAATAAAAGGCAGAAAACACAAACCAACCTTGATCATTAACATAATGCAATGCAAAGTACAATATTTAACGTTGACTCGTGACACATGCAGATACCACCCGCCACATTGAGAAGCAATAACAGGTAGTTTTTAAAGTCATGTGCCCATTGGCCTATATACTCATCCTCGTTTAGAAGAAATGTCCGACTGTCTGAGACATGAATTTCATCTTGTAGTTTGAGATCATTATTCCTCGACTTTCCTTCAAACACTTGATAGTGTCTTTTACCTTGAATAAATTCTGACTTGAAAGCTTGGTTGCAACAGAATATGGGTTAGATGGGCATGTATCGACAAGGGCAGATGTTTATAGCTTTGGGATTTTGTTGCTCGAGACATTTACCAGAAAGAAGCCTACAGATGATATGTTTAGAGGAGACTTAAGCTTGCATCAATGGGTAAATAGATTCTTTCCTGATTCCGTAAAGGTAGTGTTGGACTCAAGCCTTTCGAGTGATATGGACTTCAAAAAAGAAAGCAGCAGTGCAATGCTTGAGCAGTCATTGGTGTCAATTATTCATGTGGCTTTGCAATGCTTGAAAGAATCACCTGAGGAAAGGATTAACATGAGAGATGTAGGGGTACAGCTAAAGAAGATCAGAACAGAGTCACATCAATATGCACGGCAAGGTAATCCGAAATTTTCAAATCCACATACAAAAGGCCTGTGATGCTGGCATGGGTGGCTTTAGTTGAAAGTTGAGTAGGAGAGACTGATGGAAGATGGTAATTTTGGATACCTCCTCACCATAACCTTGCCCAATCAAGTTTGGGTTGGTCGAAGTTTCATCAAATGTTTATTATTACAGGCCAAAAATGTAGCCTGTATACTAGGTGTAAGATAGTAATCTAAGTTCAAATATTTATTTCTTGGGGTGCAATTCCTGGAAGAAGTTAGATCCCAGTAGTTTTCAAAAATCCATGTAATGTTTTAGACAAAAAAGAAGCTTTTTGAACTTCATGTTTGATGTGTAACCCAACATTTGGGTGAAGCATAAGGATGTATAGGTGAATTTCTTATGGGATTTTCCTCCTCATCTCTACTCTTTTATTTTTGAATCCCCAATATCAATTTTTAATTTTTGATCATGATTAGCCATTCATAACTTTACTCTTTTCACTCAAACTATAATTCTGCAATTCTAACCCTTTCAGAAACCTTCTGGCCCCTAACTCGTGGTTAGTTTCGAATTGAAAATTTCCAGCAATTTATCTCTCAGCCATTGCAGACCTCCTGCCTTTCGAACCAGGTAACCTTTCTTTTTATGTCGTGCAGCATGAGTCAGAAGTAGGGTTGTGGTGCTAGATACACCGCCACGGATGCTGGTGGATCCCGGTTGCTGTTGGACGATCTGATGATGGACTTGGTCTAGCTACCTCTGTGACTTCTTCTACTGGTGCAACTTCCCCTGCCATTTGTGGTGCTAGTGAAAGGACTGGCTGGTGCAGCAAAACCTGATGAAACCTCCTTATTTTAGCAGCAGAAATTGCCTTCTTCTTTGCTGATACAGCGGAAACCTTCAAATCAGAAAAAAAAAAACTTCCTCTTTAGCTTTAGAGCGAGCAGAGCAGCAGAGTGAAGTGGGTTGTGTAATCATTGAAATTTTGACTTTTTTTTGTTATTAATATACTAATAATTGCACGTGAATCATTTTAATTATGAAAATAATATATATTCAAATTATGTACCATTTTGGCCAAAAGCCATCATATTTATAGTACATCTAAAAAATCATCTTTTTCCTTAAGACTTTAGTTATAATGTTCATTTATCAAAGATCCACCTTTGTTTAATTTTACCCAGATCAACACTTTCTTTGGTGAAATTTTGGTCTTATGATGCAGTTATTAGGCTTCTAAAGAAAGCAAAAACCAAGATTTATAAGATGTATATATATAGTACATATAAACTTATACTGCACATGATGAAAATAGTATATTGGTCTTATATAGTACATCAAAATCTCATCAATCCACCCCAATTTGTTTCTTGGCTCTTCATCATCAAAAGAGAGTCACCAAAGCTCATCCCATAAATAGATCTTTTTCTTTGAGTGGATGCATTATCATCCTTGACAACATCATCATATTCATCGGTTCAGTCATCAATTGCAAACATCGCTCTTCTGAACATCTTGCTGATATCGTGGAGCAATTTATAAATTTAGTACAATTGTCGATATTTGAATAAGAATTTCTGAAAATCCGTTTGTTTGTGATAAAAACAAAAATCTTAATCATGCATGATAAAATTCTATAATTAGTGGTTTCTCTCGCCTTACCAACTCCTCTTATTGCTTTTGGGTAAATACAAAGTCCAATCATTAAGTAAAGCTTTTATACATTTTATGGGTTTTAATTAATAGTAAAATTTAAGGAAAACAACAATATTACTAGTCTCAACAATTATAAATTCTTGCATAGTGCAAGTAGTCATTTGTCAAGTTTTCAAAGTTTTTAATTGTATGTTAGCATATATTAATTTTTAGTCGTAGATACAATAAAGTAGAAACGGGCGAGTCATCAAATGAGTGTTGGACACGTATCTAAAATCAAGGAGTGTTTTGGACACTATTTGAAATTGAAATTTTCTCTTTCCAAGACGAAAAAAACATTTGAGAAATATCCGAGAGTAATGAGAACTATCGATGACCGAAATATTTTTTGGCATGACTATGTCATTTTCTTAAGACTATCTGATTGATGTTTAAATTTCCACCCCACATTATTTCTAAATATTCAATTCTCATGTTCGCTATTATGTTTTTATTAGAGCACTCTATTTGGAAAACTAAATAAAAAGTAATAGATACCTAAAGATATTACATGTCAAGTAAATAAAAAATTTTAAAGATGGACTAAATGACTTTGACCTTGCCAATGGTAGAAAAAGTTATCTGGCATAGTCACAAAGAAAAAACAAATTTAATCATTATTTTAACTTATATATCTATTGTAGAGCCCCCAAACGTTATTAAGAAAGATCAGGAGGATGCATATTGGTGATGAAAATGGGAAAAAGAGAAGTCACGCAGAATCCAAAATTTTCCCAAGGCTGTTATTGAGCCCTTATTTCAACTCATATCTCTGTATTAGTCAACCACATGATTTTCACCAATCTGCTTGTAAATCTACACCATCAACAAACAACATCATGAAGACACTGCAAATAGGAAGAAAAAGTTGAAATACTAACAAACAAAAATAAGTCCAAAAACCACACCATTAGAACTGAAGCAACATTCACATTTTGTATAGAGAGGGGCATAATAAGTCTTAGTATTCCATGAGATGAAAAAAGAAATTAGAAGGGCTTGACTTCGAGTAAAAAACAAATGCAAAATGAACCAAAGAACACACGATTTTTTTTACCTCAGAGAATGAGATTAACGAACAAATGCAAAAGAAAATGAACTTTTAGTAGAACGTTAATCCACCAAGGCTTCCAATTTAAAGTGCTGCTAGTGGCTTCTTTGGACTTTCCAATTTCCAGAGAGAGTGAGTAAATGGACTCTCCAACAATTTAAAAGAAGAAACGGAAAAGGCCAAGACTGACTTCAATCCAATACCCAATTATACTATTCATTAAATGTCAAGTGACCTTTAGTTTACATATTCATAACTAATTAACTATGAATTTACTACATTAAAATTTTGACTTTTTAAAATTGTTGAAGGGTATATTTGAAATAAATTTTTTTTCACTTTAGCTATCTTTTATTTGTATAGATAGTATAGATTAAGAACAATGCTATATAAACTTAAAAAATAGACTTGATAATCTCAATCATTGATTTCACTGTGGGTCCCAACATTTATTGAGACTCACTACCTATTCAATGGTTGAGATTATCAAGTCTAATTTTTAAGTCTATTTTTTTAAATTCATCTAGCATTACTCATAGATTAATGAGTTAAGATGACCAAAACTCTTTTTGATCTTAAGCGTAGCAGGCGAGATAATTGAAGCTCACTTGAGATAATAGCATACAAACACATAAATGCAGACACATGATGCTTGTAGATCTGGAATACTAAGAAACACGAAACATCCACAAAACAAACTCACTTATAATCCAATATACCCAGTTGGTTTTAACTCCAAATTCGAAGTGATGGCTTGCCAAGACTCACAACATTGAGTCCATCTCAAAAGCTAGAAAGGATAAAAGGGATGGTGATCACACTACTTCAAACCTGATTGATCGTTGTTTTCATGAACCCAATGCTGCTAATTAAGATTATATTGCTTGGCTGGTGAGTTCTTATGATTTCCTTATGGAAGAGTTTATGGTTTGGAACTTCGTTACATGAACAATATATACACATAGACAGCACAAAAAATAAGGTTGTACATGATATTTCTGACATATATTCTACACCATTAATAATAATGCTGCACATTTAGCATCCATATTAACCCAACATGAGCATAAAAAATACAAAAATTGGAAAAAGAAAACTAAAACACAAAAAAGTCTTAACAAAGGGCAAAAAATAAAGTTGGTTCCAAGCTTTGAACATATATTAACCACGATCACTTCCCACCCACCACCGCCACACCGATGGTGATTTCCCAGCAAGAGAGTTGGTGAAACATCCCTCCTCCCTCAACCATAATGATAAAAACACCCAACCCCACTGCCTCTAAGCGAAATTGAAAAATCAAGAAAACCCACCTGCCCTCTTCCAAACCGCTGCTATAACCCACCCCAAGAAAATCGAGAAATCAATACATCCTTGACCCACCAGCCCCACCACACAGCTGCCTCCAACAAAAACCGAAAAACAATAAATCAAGAACCGAAAGGGAAACATGTGATTGGCGAACACAATCTACGAAATACAAACACATGGAAATATGCATACATAAATTCAATCGGTTGAAGAAGAACACAACTTACCTCGCCAAGATCTGGAAATGCTGAAGAAGAAGACACCTTTGGTTGAGTAGTGAAGTCGGTGAGGGCTTTATATAGGCGAACAACTGTGGCCTTTACTCCAAACAGACACTTGAGGTGAAAATGAGAGCATAATCAAGTCTGCAAAATCAGCCATAGTCACTCCTTTTCGCCCAAGCCAGAGAAGAAGAGAAGAGGAGAGGTGACTTCTCATCTTTCCCCAGGAATTCAGCATCCATAGCAACTCCTTTTTTGCCCAAGCTAGAGAAGAAGAGGTTTCTTTAAAGGGAGGCAGACGGAGAGGCGAAGGTGAAGAGATGAGGAACGGTGGGTTGTTAATGGCCGATTTGTGAGTATGCAAGGGAGAGGGAGTAACTGATGGAATTGATGGTTTCCATATTGGTGCTGGACAATTTGCGAAGAAAGAGAGAGATTAAAGGTTGGGAAAAGTATAGAGAGGGAGAGAGACTGAGAGATGGGTGAGAAGATTGGGCAAATTATTGAGAGAGAATGTAACGGCTAGGAAAAGGAGAGAGGCAGAGGGGCGAGAGACGGGTGAGAGAGAATCATAAAGACGCAAGGGAGAGAGAGAGAGAGAGAGAAATGACTGAAAATGGAGAAGAAGGAGATGGCTGGATTAGGGAAGAAGTGGAGTGGCAATTTTGTTTCTCTGTCATTAAATGCAAAGGAAATGGACGACATAGTTACATTTTTGGAGAGCCAAGATGGAAAAAAATATTTTCACATAGGATAGATAAGAGTAGGTAAGTAAGGAGCTGAGAACTAGCTGTTGTTGTAGGAGATCTGAATTTTTTCTGGTTAAGTTTGAAGTTATCGGACAGTTCAATTTTAGAACCACAAATTGCCTCTACCTATAGAATACTGGTAAACTTATTTTTTTTTTGGTCAGACAAATACTTGTCAACTTGAATAATCACAAATTTACTAGTATACGAGTTTAAGTTACACATAGCAATGCTATGGGGAACAGTCATGAATGTTCGGGAGGAGGAATTTAATAGTTAAAGTATAATCCAAGGGTACCTTTTTGTCTAAACAAGGTTTCTCTCTTCTCTACTACACTGCATCACATACATCTCAAAAAATAGAAAATTATTAGCAGGACGAACAAATATTACAGTTCAATCTTGCATCTTTGCTTCCGTTAAATTGTGATGCCTGAGGAAGCAAGCCAAGTTGACATTTTACGAGGAAAGCAACACAATAAGCTGGGCAATGTCTTACAGGAATCATAATGTCTGCTCCCTATTTAAATTACTTAGCCATGATATGATTACTTGTGCACCTTTTTCCCATGAACAATCCAACATCATGTCATGGGCAACTCCTTCGAGGCAGACAGGTGGCACACCATAAAACTGGCCCGTTTCACTGAGTCCTTTGGCATCCTACAAGAATCAGTTGCTCTATTACTTTAATGTTCATCAATTATCAAAAGCTTTACCATAGAAAAGAAGAGACAGAAAAACAATAATAAATTTTTAAGCATCAGCAGCATAGAATATACGGCCACCACAAAAAATAAAAAAATATAAGTTTCAATCAATGGTAAAGGGCCACACGTAATGGTACCACAGAAAAATCTCCCCCCAAATGATAGGATGGCATATTAAAACTTGAAGTGGAAACAATTACGATCTATGTTAAAATTGAAACATTGTTGAACACAGAATCTACCACTATGAAGTCATCATTTGCACCCAAAACAAGAACTTTAACAGACGACTTGGGCACTGAAGGAACAGGCAGTGATGCATTAAGCTTCCTTAGATCGAATAATGGCATCCTTGAACTTTCTGTCATCAGCTTTTGGTAACTGAAAGAGATAAAAGAAGTTTAAGGCTTGGTTTTCACTAAACAAGCAGTACATGGATAAAAGACATTAGAGAGGTCATTATTCCAATGGATGCATCTTTAATAAACTTACAACTTCAAATCACAGACTTAAGTCATTTAAAATCTCCTACACAATGATGAAGCATAAATGTATCACATCTAATGTTGTTTGGACACGCGGCCTGAGTTTGGCAAGGATACTATTGTAACTGCGACACTATTGCTTCTAGTCCTAACACTACATGTATCCCCCCTTTGTATTTCACTCATTTCATATTTGAAATATTGTTTTCATGCTTGACAACCTGAGCTTTGATAATTCGACTGAGCAATATCCCCTATTAATCCACTTCTGTCCATTGTAACATAAATTTAGGTACATATTATTCACTCTTTGTATTCTGTGTTTTATTTAATTTTCATATTTAGACTTCTTATGTTAATTTAGATCAAAGAAAGAATGATGAAAAGAGAATGAAGAAATATTATGAAGAGAACAACTAATTTGAATTACAGCTTAATGGAAAATACATAAAAGAGGCCCTTACATAATAGGGCAACATAAAAGAAAACAAATGACTACACTACTCCTAAGTCTAAGTATGCTGACTACTCTAATAGACTAACACTACTCTAACAGACAAACACTTATGAAAGAAATATACCTGTGTAATAGCTTACCTCACCTAAACTAAACTCAAAAATGCCCTATTCCAACTATTGGGGGTCTTTTTTTAAACTATAAGCTATCATAGGTTATTTTCCTATCGCATTCAAAGTTAATCTTGGCCGACCTCTACCTCTTGCATCTTTATCAATATGTATCAAATTACTATTTCTTACTGGTGCAATACTGGGTCTTCTATAGACATGTCCAAACAACTCTATTGTTTCATGAATATAGACAGTTTTTATTTTACCACAGCCTGTGTACTTGCTTTGAAACACAAAATAATGCACATATTTTGCTGATGCACGTATATTTCTCCATTATGGGTTGTTTCAAATGACACGACGATTTGAAGTTGTCAAGTGCAAACCGTAGGACCAAGTGGTTCTCCATTGCTGCAGAGAAAAATGTTTCTTTACAAAGAGGCAGAGAAGTCTGGAAAGCTTTGGCTGCCAAACTGCGTGTCACCTGCACAATAGACCAAATTCATTCATATCTGAGTCATGGGAATAAAATTGACTTATGCGTATATTGTAGAATTAAAGCAAAACAACACTGATGCTGCATAAAAAAGGTTGCCATGTTTGATGAAACAAGCATTCAGAAATTTAAATTGGTCTATCACAGGTACTTAAAATGAATAACAACTACTATGAACGAAATGAGAATATAAAATGTACAACTTAAAACACAGGGAGAGTACAACATATGCAGTCAAAAGTTTCTCCGATGTATGAAAAAATACAGACCTTAAAAGCAGCAATAGGTTTGGAGAATATATATCGCCACACTAACCCACTGCATAAAGTACAAGTAAGAACGTGTTAGTCTGACTCAGTTAGATACATGTAATGCAGGAGGTTATATAGCACAGGGTGTCACCTATTACCAGAAGGAGGAACAGAGCAAACGAGCACTGCTCCAGCAAGATCAGGGTGAAAGCTTTCAGTTTCTAGAACCAAGTTCAATTAGCAGAAAACTCAAAAAAAAACAAAAAAAAAGATAGAATAAAACAAAGTTGGTACAAGTGAAAATTACCATTTGAAATCAAGAAAGTGCCTAAGGATGCTTTCATGTAAAGTCAACAAATGTCGCAAAAGCTGCTTAAGATTACATTACAAGTCTGCCTTAGGACAACGGAAGGTAAGCGCTTTGTGGCACAGCCTTTCTAGCTCAAGCATCATGAAACTAATGCCTTGATCTTATCTTACACCTTAGATGTCCGACATATGGCTATTTGGGGTGGCCTGCAAAGGCTCAACCCCAACCCCAACCCCAACTTTCTCTCACCTCCTAATTTGCACATGAAAGAGGGGTAATAATAAGACTTGCAATCAAATTTCTTGTCCTTAACCATTCAATGTAACACCTCGACTGGATATGTTAATAAAATGTATCTAGTTCCATCTGTAAACATAGACACAAGGACTTGTCTATCACTTCATTAAATTTGAAATATGCACACATTGTCTCATAAAATCTCATTCTTACAAATTACATGGCTGTTGCTGCATTTTTGAATTAATTGCCTCTTAAAATTATATGCTTTTAATATAATATTTGATTCCTTGTATGCTCAATCTTGAATTGTGATCCCACACTTCTCTTTTTCATCATATTCTGTTCAAAAGGAGAGGACTTGAGTTTCTACTTGACTGCCAAGGCGCATTATGCCTACATACATGGATGTCCTGCTTGGAAGCGAACCATCTAAAGTACAAGGTTTACCTGATAATTGTTCATTTCTTACACTTGCAATATAATTCTGAACAAGAAGCCCTTCACTCTGGTGCCAACCTGTTTTGTTTCTAGATAAAGTTCTCTCTCTCACTTCATTAAATGCGGAAAATGCACACTAAAATTTCTCATGAGCATTTCATTTTTAGGAGTTAAATGCTTGTGCTTTATTTCTTAACATTACTTGCCTCTGAAAATTTTATGCCTCTCATATGATATGGAATTACTTGTAAATTGCTTCGATAAAATAATTTCACAATTCCCTATCATAGTATGGTTAGTTTATAATTAGGGATTTCGACATTTCTACTTCACTGCCAAGGCTGTCGCTTGATATAGCTGTAGATACTGCTTCCTTACGGGTAAAAAATGTCAAGATGTTCTACTGTGCTTTCTTAATTATGCATATGAAACACTTAAAATAGAAGGTTTACCTGATAATTGCTCATTCCTAATGTTCGCAACATAATATTGAACAATAAGCCCTCCAAATGAATGTCCAAGCAAAATTGGTGGTATCCTGATTTCTTTCCCAATGAAATCCGCAACATTACCTGCATGTGTCTACTGTAAAATTGGAGCAGTAGATTAGTAGAGAACAAGAAGCGGATTGTAACGGAAGATGAAAGACGGAAAGCATGAAAGCCAAAATCAGCTTGGTGAAGGAGCTGTTGTCATGCGGACAGCTAGAATACCAGGAGGGAACCTGCAACTGAACCACCAGGTGCATCACTTTCACCCCTGATCATGTAGAGAGAGAGAGCACACCAAATCAGTACCAAAATTTTTGAAAAAAAAAAAACCAAAATCATGCCATTTCTAAGCTTCAAGGGAATCACCATTGTGCTCTGGTTTTGTTGAAGTATGCTTTTGGAAGAAATGATGAGTTAACATGTTATTAGAATACCAGGTAGTGCATTCGAATTCATAGCCCACCCTGATAATTAAAAGAAATTCTTAACTTACACCC